CCAGCTGGGGCTTTATTAAATTGAGAGTATGTGTAAAATAAACAATAATATAAAGTTTTTTCATGGGATGGAGTACAGCCTCCATTTTTGTTCATTAAGTCTTGTATACATGTGGCCGAAAAACAGAAGAAATCAGTCGGTTTGTCAGGAACTGGATGGCTTTTGGCCAGTGTGTACAGCTGTCTGTTCTACAGAAGCTGATCTCATGACTGGCTTCTGTCGAATGGGCATGCTGGAGAAGCAGCATCCGACCCGCATATCACTTGTGTTAGTACAGCGATCTCACTGTCATTTTCATTCAGCCTGCTGGATTTGTCCTCTGTTGATCAGAGCAGGGCAGGCGAATGACAGGTTTCTACAAAGTGGACACAGACAGGGCCTGCTCTACTCTATGGCTGGATGGGAGTAAACACTGCTGTCCATTTACACCCGAATGCCCTTCAATCCGATATGCCTAGACAGAAGGGGATGCATACCCTTCCATTTTTTGGTTTGTTCTTTATAGCTGAGCGGATGGAATTGGAGGTAGGTGGTTGTAAGGACCCACCCACCACTCCATGGGGGTAAATGGACTGTCTGAAAACAGGTGGACCTGATTAGACCCTTCATGCGAAAGGGACCTAAATGACCTACAATTGTTTTGCTGAGGGGGTGTCAAAGTGAAGTCAGAATTCCTGATCTCCTTCCAGGTCAGTGTCTCAGATAACTGCACAGTGATTTTAAGCCCTCACCTTGTAAAACAACGCATTCAGTTTGTAATAGAAATGAACGGGAAAACATTTGTGTACAGATCTAAAAAAATATATATACAGTGAAGGAAATAAGTATTTGATCCCCCTGCTGATTTTGAATGTTTGCCCACTCACAAAGAAATGATCACTCTAAAAATTTAATGGTAGGTGTATTGTAACACTGAGAGACAGAATAGCAACAAAAAAATCAAAAGAAATGCATGTCTAACAAATTATACACTGATTTGCATGTTCATGAGGCAAATAAGTATTTGATCCCCTATCATTCAGCAGGATTTCTGGTTACCAGGTGTCTTTCATACAGGCAAGAAGCTGAGATTAGAAGCAGTCTCTTAAAGGGAGTGCTACTAATCTCATTTTGTTACCTGTATAAAAGACACCTGTGCACAGGAGCAATCAAACAATCAGATTCCAAACTCTCCACCATGGCAAAGAGCTGTCCAAGAATGTCAGGGAAAAGATTATAGACCTACACAAGGCTGGACTGAGCTACAAAACTATCGCCAAGCAGCTTGGTGAGAAGGTGACAACAGTTGGTGCAATCATTCGCAAATGGAAGAAACACAAAACAACTGTCAGTCTCCCTAGGTCTGGTGCACCATGCAAGATCTCACCTCGTGGAGTGTCAATGATCATGAGAACAGTGAGGAATCATCCCAGAACTACACGTGAGGATTTTGTCAATGATCTCCAGGCAGCTGGGATGACAGTCACCAAGCAAACAATTGGTAACACACTACGCCGACAAGGATTGAAATAATGCTGTTCCTACAAGGTTCCTCTGTTTAAGGAAGCACATGTCCAGGCCCATCTGAAGTTTGACACTGAACATCTGAATGATGCAGAGGAGGACTGGTTGAAAGTGTTGTGGTCAGATGAGACCAAAATCGAGCTCTTTGGGATCAATTCAACTTGTCATGTTTGGAGGAGGAGGAATGCTGCCTATGACCCCAAGAACACCATCCCAATTGTCAAAAATGGCGGTGGAAACATTCTGCTTTGGGGGTGTTTTCCTGCTAAGGGGACAGGACAACTGCACCGCATCAAATGGACGATGGACGGGGCAATGTATCGTCAAATCTTCGGTGAGAACCTTCTTCCCTCAGCCAGAGCATTGAAAATGGGTCATGTATGGGTGTTCTAGCATGGCAATGACCCAAAACACACAGCCAAGGCAACAAAGGAGTGGCTCAATAAGATGCACATTAACCTCCTTAGGGACATGATTTTGTCCATATTTCTGTGCTCAAAGCGGTACATTTTTTTGCATGGAAATATGTCGTTTTTTTTTTATTGTAGGCCTGTCATTTTTTATGAATAACTCACTGAAATCTGTCCGGACAAGAGTCTAGTAAACATCTTGGGTATGATAAAATTTGAAACACGAAATCATAAATTATAATATAATCTCTATCTATCTATCCATTCAGTCGTATCCGACCCTTGGCGATTGCATGGACCGTCACACGTAAGCAACTTTTTCCATGAATTCTCTTAGCAATTATTTTACAGGGTAGGTTGCCAGGTCTTTCCCCAACCAATACCATGCAGGAGATCCCGCATGGCCAGGGATGAAACTAGGACAATTTAGACAGGAGCCAATTCACCTACCAGCATGTCTTTGGAGTGTGGGAGGAAACCGGAGTACCCGGAGGAAACCCACGCAAGCACAGGGAGAACATGCAAACTCCATGCAGGAGGCGCCATGATTGGGAATCGAACCCATGACCCATTTACTGCACGGCAGACATGCTAACCACTAAGCCACTGTGCCGCCCATTATAATATAATAAATAATCATAAAAAATAATAATATAATAATAATAAATTTAATTCAATATTGTAATCAAACCAAAAACACAGAAATTTGAAATCTAGTGCCAAGTTCGCACATCACTGAGCTTAGTCGCAAAATCGTTTTCAGTGTCTGATGACGAATTTCCCCACAAATAATTATCACTCAATTCTGCAAGTGGTTCTGATTTACTATCGCTGTTCTCTAGCTGGTCTAAAACCACCTTTGACCTAAAGGGACACTTTTTGGACGCCATGGACGTTTCTCAGTTTCCAGGCAGAAAGAACAGTAAAAATGCAGGCAGGGCACAGGACAAAGCACTCGGGACAAAATGTATGTGAAATGCTTTGATACAGTATTGTTATACTATGTGATTTTAGTGTATTGAGTGAATGTCACTTTTAAAATTATTGAATTTCCCGCCGGTTCCTTCCCCCGTACGTCCCGACGCTCGCAGGAACCGGAAGATGGATGCCAGCATCAGCCGGAGGAGATGGCAGGGGACGCTGCAGGGGGGACATTGTGGGAGCGCAGGACAAGGTAAGTGAAACAGGGATCCCGGAGCAATGCTGCAGCGTGATCCCGAGTGTAGCTTGGAGTTACAGCTTTTGGTACTAAAAGTTTACCCCGAGCTACACTCGGGGATGCCACCAGGGAGGTTAATGTCCTGGAGTGGTCTAGCCAGTCTCCAGACATTAATCCGACTGAAAATCTGTGGAGGGAGCTGAAAGTTCAAGTTGCCAAATGTCAGCCACCAAACCTTAATAACTTGGAGAGGATCTGCAAAGAGGAGTGGGCCAAAATCCCTCCTGAGATGTGTGCAAACCTGGTGGCCAACTACAGGAAACGTCAGACCTCTGTGATTGCCAACAAGGGATTTCTTTTGAATTTTTTGTTATTCTGTCTCTCAGTGTTACAATCATTTCTTTTGTGAGTGGGCAAACATTGAAAATCAACAGGGGATCAAATACTTATTTGCTTCACTGTAAGAAAAAAAAAAATATATATATATATATACATACACACATACATATATATATATATATATATATACATACATACATACATACATACATACATACATGAGGGGCGACTGAAAAGTTCTCGGCCTACCCATGAAGAATTTGTCTTAGCCCAATTTTATTTTTGCTACTCATAGTACATATCTTTGCAAGGTTCCATACCAAATTTCTCACAAATAGCTTTTTCTTTGTTTCAGTTATTGAAGACTGAAGTGCAGAAGGTCATCATTGTCTGAAAGATGGAGAAACTGAGCAAACGTGCTGTTATCCAATACTTGCTGTCTGTTGCGTTGGTTTTCAGCAGTCAATATTCATGCATGTCAAGCACTACTGTTAAAATGTGTCCAACACATTCCTGGGATATGCCCACTTTCTCTTCGATCAAATGTTCTGTCACACGCCTGTCTGCCATTACAAGATCCTGGATTGCTGTGACGTTTTCCTCAGTACAGGCAGTTGCTGGCCTTCCACTGCGAGGGGCATCTTGGACAGAGGGGTTCCCCCTCTTGAATTTCCGCCACCCACTTTTTAACGGTGGAATAGGAAGGGGCATCCTCCCCTAATGTTTCCATCATGTCCTTGTAGATGTCCTGTCCACTCATTCCCTTTTTTCAGCAGGTATTGGATAACAGCACATTTGCTCACTTTCTCCATCTTTCAGACAGTGATGACCTTCTGCGCTTCAGTCTTCAATAACTGAAACAAAGAAAAAGCTATTTGTGAGAAATTTGGTATGGAACCTTGCAAAGATATGTACTATGAGCAGCAAATATAAAATTGGGCTAAGACACATGCTTCATGGGTAGGTTGAGAACTTTCCAGTTGCCCCTCGTATAAATACCCTGTTTTTCACTTTTCGTAAGTGATCATATACTCTCTGTTCTCTTCATAAGAGCTGAGGGAGTAGAAACAGCAGTACACAGATCTTTCCAGTGAATGGCTGCAGATTGGCATGTCAGCAGAAGTCTGATCAATGGAGGAGAGCAAGCCATTTTCCAGCATAGCTAGAAGACTGACCATAGTGTGTTCACCTACTTAGTGTGGTCATTTTTTTAATAGGAAAGCAGCGGGACTGGCAGGAACACCAGGGATTTCACACAAAAGAAGCAATACAAAGAGAACAGGATACTTTTTTCATACAAGTACATGGTACAGCAGGCACATATCAGGAATATGAAATGTTGGGTTTACGTATTCTTTAAAGTCTGGTTCAGCATAACGAACGAGAGGTCTGCACCGGAGGCCTACATCCCCACAAGTTGCCTTTGAATGGAATGTGATGTGCAGTCTTATAAATTAGAAGCTTTACTGCAGAAGTACCTCTTTAAGGTGATATTGTTTAATAAGACTGAAACAAGTAAGACCTTCTTGTTGCAAGCTGTAAATAATTTGTCCGGCTATAAATCTGCTTCTTGTCTTTCTTCTCTGCAGAGAAGGCCAGGCTATTATTTTTGTCATTGACAGCAGTGACAAGCTCAGAATGGTTGTGGCCAAAGAAGAGCTGGAGACCCTTTTAAATCATGCAGGTAAGATTGTTCAGCGTTTCCCTTCTCCCCCTTTATTCTCATCAGACATTTTAGAGAAACTCGTCTTGTCAGCGCCGCTGACGGCTGCTACTGAAGAGCACTCAGCTCAAATGATATATGTCAGCGGTTCAAATACCTAAAGTCTTTCTTGACTGATTTTAATCTCGGTCTCTTCGGCTGTGACTGCAATACATCCAAACTCGGAGATGGACGAGCAGGCACCATCATATACTTAGATCTGTAGATACAAGTACAGGGGAGTTTAGCGGATCTGACACCTCGTCACATTGTGCTTGCTGCAGAACAGCGCTTTGTATCACAGGTTTAATTCTGCTCTTCATACGCATTTTTTCCGCTTATGTCAGTTTATTTACGCTCCACTTTTCACAGATATTTTGCATATTTACTTCTTAATTGTACAACATATGGGATCTAAGAGAAGTTTATAAACAGAGGTAAAGTTCAGAAAAAAAATAATTTGTGTGTTAATTAGGGAGCAGAGGCCATCTGTTGTCACAAACACCTCCAAAGGTGATTTAATTAAAAGCAGCCCTGTGAGCCTAAGAAGCGGATGTTGTGAATCTTTTGAGTCTGTTATCTATAATAGCTTCCTAGATAGGAAAATATATACAAAGTAGACAAAAAGCACAAAAGGAAAAATGGTTGCTGTTTTAAACTTGATTTGTTACTAGTGCAGGTTCCTTACTATTTTAATAATAGAATCGAAGCAAGATTAGGGTTGAGGATAATTGCCTCCTAAATTATGATGTAATCTTCATCTTCAACTTTTATTTTTTAAAAATATCAAACAGGTTATACTTCCCTGCTCTGTGCAGTAGTTTGGGACAGATCCTCCCTGCACCTCCTCTTCACAGGTCTCCCACAGGCGCTTCTGGCTCCTCCATCTGCCGAGTGCCCCCATAGCAAGCCACTTGTTACGGGGGCACTTGGGCAGAGTCGCTCCGGAGCCAGCTCTCTATGACCATAAGACAAGCAGAGTGGGGGTTGGCCCCGCCAACCTGCTTTCTCCTCACTGGCAGTGATTGAGAGCCACCAGCTCCTGCTGCTGTGTCTGAGCCAATGAGGAGTAGAGAGCCTCTGCTCTCATGCACATCACTGGATTGAGATTGGGCTCAAGTAAGTATTGTTTTCCTTAATGCAGAGAATGCATTACCTGCAGCTGTCCTGAACATCTGTGACTCACAGACACCAAAATGCATTTTACATTATGTGCCCCAGTATGCCTGTGTACATGAGTTATTAAAGGTCTCCCCACACCAGCCTGTGACTGGACAGTGAAGAAGCATACTGATTAGCTCATCATTCTCACAATGCACTCCCTAACTACTGCATGTTCTTTCTTAGCAAATGAGAAATTCAGCACAATCAATTGGCTCCATGTGCTGCTTCTCCTCCCAGTTCAAGCTCTGCTATACAGGGACTGTAAGAGACTGATTCGGCATCAAATGCAGGTTCTTGCACTGTCTGCACTTAGAAGACTACATTTAATTCTATTTTAATGAATACAGAATTGCATTCATTTACATCCTTTCTACCAGCCCGGAGTTCAGCTTTAAGAAACCTCACACACAGCATTTGACTCTGGCATATGTGTATTGGTCAAGTGGTGTATTGGCAACGTATACCATATCTGTAACAAGCTGATATCTTGATTTGTTTTTTTTTTAGGGTGTAATTAACAAAATAATTTTCGGTATGACTTTCAATGTCTATTCCCAATAACTGTGTCATTGAAATTGAAATTTGTAGATTACCCACCAGATTGGGCTCTTGATTTGATTCACCCTCATTCAACCTCTCTGGCCTTTTTTTTTTTTGTCTTTTGACCCCCCCCCTTCCCCAAGCCTTTTTTATTTATTTTATATTCTACCATTTTGCATGCATACAGTTCCATTGATCCTCAGTTCAGTCATGTGCTATCTCAGGTTCTCTACTTTCTTTAATGGTAGGCAGGTTCTGAATGCTGCATAGTATGGTGCAGAGTAATGACATTTAGCCCTGGTTCACTACGGCGAAGGAAAGCAACGGTTCCTGTTTGTTTGCCATACCGCATAGCAATCTCACTGTGTTCATGCGATCTGCTGCGGGGGTCATTGTTAAGTTAATGGCACCCCAAAAGCAGGATGCAAAATGCAGTGTTTCCCTGAATCGGATTGCATGGGTATGAACACCCATGCAATCCAATTCGAGTGCGACAAAAAAAAAAAGGTGTCTACACTTTTTTCGTGCAGATGCAGCACAATTTGAGCCATACAAAATGAATGGGCTGAAATTGCACCATACAGAATCGCATGTGATTTGCACAGGAATGCGGTGTTATTCCTGTCTGAATCACATGCGGTTCCACAATGTGTGCCAGGGCTTAATGTAAACATAGGGCAGGAACTAGGGAGGGAGAGCAGCATGAGCTGAGCTGCTAAGAATCCATGTGGTCTTCTCACAGCAGAGTTCAATGAAAGTCGATTGGGTTAAGCTTGGCTTCAGGTGCCAAACTTAAAATTCAAGATTCACATATAATGTGAACATTTTAACATATGGTTGTCATAAAAAGTTTACTTTTGCCTGTCTATAATTTCAGATGTACTCAATGTTGAAGTCAGTTCGCTTTTAAACCGAGACCACCAAGAACAGAATGAATTTTTATGTGAAACAAGTAGTCTACTCCAGCGGTAGGCAACCTTAATGAGGTGGAGGTCTACCTGAACAACATGAGAGAAATCAAAGATCACCGGGCACAGTGTCACCTCCTCACACTTGATTTAAACCTTTATTTGCAGTACTATGTCGCAACCGCCTGCATTGCACAGCAATCAGGGGTTTAAATCAGGTGATGAGGAAGCAACATATCACCTCCTCATCACCTGTCAAACACACTCAGATCACTTTTCAGAGGAGCAGCAGTGCCTGCTGAACTTGTGAATGAGCCCTTAGTTGCATTTGGCTGTGTCACGCTTAGTGCTTGTTCACTCGTAATGTTGGGGGGTGGTAAAACCCTGTGGTTGAGTCGCGTTTCTACTTATACCAATACCTACCCCCTTTAGCTGCTAAGGCAGCAGCCAAAGGTGTACATATGTTGCAGCCAGAATTAAACTCCCTGTTAGTTTTGGTGGGTGCTACCGTCTGCCAATAGCGATCCATTCAAGTAAATGGGGCCAGTTTACAAGCATCCCGCAACTGCATGCTTCTGTGAGCTCCATTGGGTTAAAGCAGGTGATGAGAAAGCAACACAACACTGCTTGCTTTAACCCCTTGTTTGCTGTACTGCACAAGGTTAAAGGGCACTTGCAGAGCGGCTTCATTCACTTGCATGGGTCATCCTTGGCAGGTGCTACACCCACCAACCATGACAGGGAGTATAACTCCTGCTGCCACATGTGTACAGCTCTGGCCATTGCAACTAAAGGGGATGCGGTTGGGGCAGTAAAAATATCCTAACTATGGGGTTTTACCACCCCCCAGTGCTTTCACACTGATGTGCTGTGGTTTAGCTGCACCGAGGATGCAGCATTGTACATCTGCAGCTTTCCTGGGATAGCTGGGTTTTTCCATAGACTTCTATTATATCCTGCAGGTGTGGTGCAATTTCTAAATGCACACCAAAACTCCTACATTCAAGAGTGTTAGTGCGCTTTCAGAAAGTGCACCAACCCACAGGATGTAATAGAAGTCTATGGCTAAGCATAGCAAACCCATAGGAAAGCTGCAGGTAAACTGAACTGCACCCACGGTGTGGGTAAACCGCAGCGCATCAGTGTGAAAGCAGGCTTATACTATTATGCCCAGTGAATTGCTTCACACTGACCTGAAGATCTCTTCTTTCCTGCTGCTGGCACCACTCTGGAAGCCGCTAGCTGGGATAAGTAGTGGAGTGCAGGTAGAATCAGTCCACATGGGACAGGAGCCAGCACTACAGAGGAAGCATCAACTTATGTGACTCTTGCTCCCTACTACAGCTCCAGCCTTACAAGTAGTTCCTCTGCATTGCACTCTGTTTGGTGCTCTAAAATGGCAGGTCAGCATGCTCAGGCTGCGATCTACCAGTCACCTGGCTGTGATCTACTGGTAGATCACTCCCGTAGTAGAGCATGCCTGGGACAAATGCAGAATGAGTCCTAAAAATGTAAAACAAGCCTTTAAATGAAAGCTATTCAGCTTGGTATAAATCAGGCTGTCCATAGACTAACAAAATGAAATGTCTTTTTTCCAGTATATGCTCTCCTAACCTCATCATCTTTCCTCACTATTGTGTGATGGCTTTCTGCCCACTAGAGCCTACGAATATATGACAGCAGGTTCATTACAGAAATAATACTTAAAAGCAATCTGTCTTTCCTGTTGCTGCATGACAGTGCTCTTCAAGAGTGCGAAAATGAATCGTTGAGAATTGCTGGTGGCTCTGAATACAAAAGTTCACAGTGGCTGGACTTTGTAAAGGCAAGGCCCTCTCAGTCTATGATGGTTTATGGTATAAGTGCCTGGAGTTTTCTTCCCATATTTCAGAATCTAGGTTTGAATACACAGAAAATCTGTATGACAACATTTTCTGTAGATGAATAAACCAGTTCAAGTTTTCTTATATTTTGAAAATATTCAGTGTCCCACCTTCCTTAGAAGTGCTCATTTAGAGGCTTTTAGCGTGCACTGACAATTGAAACGCCGGAAGGACTGTTTGGTCTTCTCTATGTAATGTAGAAAGAAGAGTTCCAGCTGCTAGGACAACTCTGTGCTTGCCTTTTTCAAACTTTTAATCTAAGAGATCAGAGTTAGTGTGTTCCCTGATGAGAGATATTGTGGTCTACTCTAAGAGATAATCATGTGGGGATACCTTGCATGATATTGGAATGAGATCCCTTTTTAATGTAGTGACTGCTAATTGCGGCAGTTAAGAGTACTAACAAGTGCAGGCAGGCACTTTTACAGGACTGCAATGTAGAAAGAAATGTGTGTTGCATAGAGGTGTAATGTTAGATTGGACCATC